TGGACAGTGCCTACAAAGATCGGGAGGGGACCCACTCAGTCCTAAATATCAATGCATTTGCGCGGGAGGCCAATGCAATTAGTTTGTTCAGTTCTTAATTAGCATCTCCATTAATTAAGTCCTAATTATGGAGAATCTGTCACTCGATTTTGTAGTTTACCGTAGATTATATTAGTGGCATTATTGCACTTATTTCTATACATGTGAAGAAGTATTAAAAAGTGAAACGTATTTATGGATTTAGTTGTGGATTCAAATTTTCTCTTTTTAATTTCACTTTGGTCACTTGTGTAAAAAAAAAGTAGAGTTATCAATTATATGGTTGATTGGTAATATATGAAGATTTTTTTTTTAATGCTCGCTGTGCTGATAATATTTCGATTTATGCTTATTTGTGGCCTTTTTAAAATCATTTTAGCTCGCAATATTTTAATTCGGTTGGAATATATATGTTTGAATCTTTTGGTTTGTGTTTTATTCCTCCTTCAACTTCCATAGTTATACACTATGTTACACTGGTTCTTCAGATAGGTGTTGCTTCCCGTCATCGAAACATCCCCAGTCGGTAGTCGGTACTTGAGAGCGTCCCCACAACCAAATTCTTTATAAAATTTAAAAAAAAATTGGCATTTCACGCTTCCAACCCCGTCCCTGTATAAGTCCATGTTCTCGTCTCGGTGCAACTTAGGTTATAAAAGAAAGGAATTGTTTCAATTTTGTTTTTCATAATTTTATTATCAATCCTTTATTTTTTCGTAGAGTAATCAATCATAGTGGAGTTGGGGAGGGTGATTTTCCGGCCCATGGGCCGAGGTCGTAATATGCCCAGAAAGGGTTTGTGGGTTTGGTCAAAAATTGGTCATGGGTAAGATCCAAGGTCCACTGGGCTGGCAGTAGTGGTACACTGGTTATCAACATATTGGGTGGGCTGGGGATTGTTTAAGTGGGCTCATTCAGGTCCAGGAGTGACCTCACACCTTTTTTATAAACATTACACTGATACTTTTCTCCCAAAGCTTAATTACTCTAAATACTTCTCAATTAGTGTGCATTTTGCTAATAAAGACCATTAAGCAGCTTTTTTAGATTGATGATCATCATTACTCTGTCTGTACATCCACTTCTATGTTACTCACCCACTGAAGTTAACGTGGTGTGACTTTTCTATGCAAAACAAAAAACTTAATCCTTAATCTAACCATTCCAAAGCCCATCAGACTTCACAATTTAAGGGCTTCTTCTGCTCCATATAGGGTAGGGCGATCTCAGTCTGCCCTCGCCTCCGAGTCGTTCCCTGAAGAGTTTCCTGATTCTGATGGTTGTTAGCGATTCAAATCAGTCAATATAAATATATGTTATCGATCAATAATGTTTGGGGCACCCCAACTTTGACACCCACAGTGTCGAATGTTTGTAAATGTCGTCGTGTCAATTTGGGGTACACTTTGCATTTTTTTTTCTATGTGTCATATCTGATGCAAAACTACTGGCATTTGTGCAATAAGATAAGATACAGATTAGAATGGGTTGGGGTCTTACCACTGGAAGAAGAAGAACTGCTTGAGTTTGAGGTAGTTGAGCTGCTTGTTCCACTAACATCATCCTTGTCAATCTCTATTGTGGGTATGCCACTGTTCGGAGCTTCTTCCCCGATATCAATGTCCTCCTCTTCTTCAGCATCGTCCCCTTTGTGCTGTGGGATGGGGAAATCTTTTGGCACCTGATTCTTGTAAAACCGCACCATCATCAATCCAAACCAAAAGAGAGTAAAGAAAACTAGTGATCAGGACAAGAACACGGTTAGTTAATTCTTACTTTGCTAATGGATTGCATCTTCGCGTCGTTCAAATCATTCTTGAGGGACTTGACAAACCTGTCAAGTTCCCAGAGTGTTTCACTGTCAAGAGCTTCAATGTCAAGATCAATCTCACCACTCTCCACAGGAAGAGAGGGATATCTCTTCATAATAGTTTGCAGCACCAGTTCAATCTTGTCTTGGTCCAGGTTCTGCAAGCTCATACCCAATGCCATCTTCTCCTTAAATGTCATCTGCCTTTCGTTTGAATCCATAACCACGAGCATTGCCGATTTCCCAGGCCAAGGCGACACAACCGGTTGGGGAAAAGATTTCGATTCTTGGACTGGAAGGGAAGGGTTAATGGGAATTTGGTCTTGAGGATGTTGTGTAACAACAGTCTTGATCATGCCTTCAAAGCACTCCAGAAACAGTTCTGCCAAGGAGTGCACTTCCTCGCCCTTCTGGTTATAAACAAGCGCATTGTTGAATGTCAGTCTAACATCAGCTGCAAATTCTTGAGGGGTTTTGTACTCATTCCCCAGCAGCTTTGATTTCACAGTTCCAAGATCCATTGGGTGCTTGATGATCAGGCTGTAATTGTGAAGCTTGAGCCCTTCGGCATCCACAGGTTTGTTGAAAATCCAGGCATGCTTTCGACGCATCAGCTTTTCCAAAATCTGCTTGCACCTCTTCATCATAGCCTGATCACTCATCTTTGAGCCCTTCCTTTGAACAGCCCGCGGCTTGGGACCTCTACAGGAAGCTAAATCGCGTCCGCCATTCGTCCGCGAGAGTTTCTTGAGTGTTCCTGGCTCATTTGAACCATTTGGTGCTCCATTCTCGTTCAGATTGTTCATTGGAGGTCTCTTTTCAGCTTGAATGGGTGGAGTAAACGCGGGTGGCGGAGGAAGTTCTAGGGCTTTCCGGCATGGAAACTCTCCGGTCTCAATTTGCTGCACAACCTGCTGAACCCTAATCAGATCAGAGATCATGCGCCGTTTGAGCTCACGTCGCTGCATTCTGGAATAGGAATCCAGATTGTGTACCACATATTCTTTCCTGAACAGGCTACTGCAGTCGATTGGAGTGTTGGGGCCGTTCGGCGTCCGGCAGGTAGACCGTGCTGGGTGAAGATCCGCCGGCTGCGAGCAAGGCGGCGGAGAGAACCACGGCTGCGGACCGTTGAAGTGCTGCCACTTCAACTGATTGCTCGGAGTGTCGCCGCGGTTGAGGTTGTAGCCGGCGTTAGGGTTGATGAGGTCGCTGAAATGAGGGATTTCCGTCGGCTTGAAGGCGAACTTCGCCAATGTATCACCCAACGGAGGTCCATTTCTTCCTGGGAAAACCGCCGCCGACATAAGAGGAGGGAATGGTAGAGGCGATTTTTGGAAGTTGTACTGGTGCGGCCTCGGCTGCTCTACGGTGTGGAAGTGGGGAAAACTCATTATGGGAATGCCGGAAAGTTCACGCTCCGGCGGCCGGAGAAATGAGGAAGTAATAGGGCCGGAGGGCTCTGAAATTCCTGTATGTCGCCGGACGGAGTTTTGTACGATGACAGAAGCAGGGGAAACGCACCCTGGTTAAACGCCAAAAAGTCTGCCCGCTTCTGTTTCGGGCACTACTGCCCGAGTGGCTGACCTCAATCGCCACGAACGGCTGAGATCCGCTGCTGGACACGTGGACGGTAAACGGCCAACTAGTAGAAAAGCAGTTCTCTTTTGAAGGAACAATTCATGAAAATACTTTTCAAATATTCCTTCTCCTCTAAATTAATTACTTCATGCAAAAAAAGTACCAAAATAAATTAATTACTCCCCCCTACTGAAATTGGTAGAATTTTTACCACTCACCTCCTAGCAACTTTTGTTTATTTGAATATTTTTATTGATGTATTTGACAAAATAAAATATTCATGTTACTTTTTCTTTTTTGTAAAACTTTTAATTAAATTTTTTAATATGAATTTTTTTATTCATATAACAATTTTTAAGTAAGATGATTTTCAAAAATCGTGATTTTACTTCGTAATGCGATAATTATAATCTAATTTGGGACGAAGTGAGTATCTCAATTCATAAGAAAGTTACCCAAGTTCAAGCCCCGGCGAACTCGTTATTAAAACTTGGACTAGGAGGTGCATACATATGAAGAAATCAATGAAGAAAAGAAATGAAGAAACTGTCAAGAAATTCGAAACTGAGAGATTTACAATGCACTAACGACGGATTTGATTAAACATACTTTTAGTCGATCAAATAATCATTAAATTCTTCGTAATGTAATGTACTATAATTGTTAATTTTTTTAACTTATATTGTTGTTATTAAAAACTTTTTTTATTAATGTAATTTTTGTATTTAATAAACTCTTGTCCTTTATTTTTAATTAATTAATAAATTCTTATTAGTTTACTTTTATAAAATGTGTATTAAAAATTTTAAAAAATAAAATTTTGAATGACCAAGGCTTCAAATCCATATCTAGTGAAATGTAAGTTAAATGAGAGTTAAAACTAATGTGAGAGAGAGAAGTTTTGAAACCCCGGACTTCAAATATATTTTCAGTGCTCTTATTAGTTTTGCATTTTACATTTGACTATATGATTGGAAGCTACTACTATAACTATTTTTATTAGTATATTTTTTCTTATATTTGAATTGGTCGTGATAGAATATTTTGTGTATTACTCTTTTTCTTGGAAAATTGTCTATTACTCCCTCCATCCTAAGACAAACTTTGTTGGTTAATTTTTTTAAACTTTGACTGCATATTACGAAAAAATTACATTGAATTTTCTTATAAACTTAATATGAATAGATTTACTTTGAAACATAATTTTGAAATATTCTATTCTTATAATATATAATTATATATAAATAGAGATATTAATAGTCAACGTATTACATTAAAGATCGTGAAAAATCAAATGAAAATTTAATTTTAGGACAAAAGGAGTATTTTTCAAAATAGTATTATATCTAATTAATATACAATATATATTTTGTTTAATTATAGGTCAAAGGTTGAAAATAATTGACCGAAAAAGTTCAAATTGGACAAATATTCAAGGACAGAGGTAGTACTTTACTGCAATAAAAATCGGCCTTCTTTACCAAAAATATACAACAAAAATCTTAGATTCATAGTCAGTCTTTTTGTCACATTAATTCACATTGTGAGAATGTTCTTTATAACATTACATCTTGATGGGAACCAAGCCCAACGAGAGAGTACTGGTAAATTGGGCCTAGGCCCAATTCGGATCCCGTCCATCAAAAGGAGCATCCGGCCCAGGTAAAATGTACCGGGCCGGTCACAGGAAGGTTGTCCGTAGAGAAAGATAGGAAAAGGAAGAGAGGTGGGGCTTAAGGATGGGCTGGAGCCAGCCCATTAAGGGCACCCACAAAGAGAGGAATCCTATGAGAAGTTTGGGGAGTCCCCCCCTTTCACTTGAAGGGACAAAGACGAGGAGAAAGAGACGGAGGAAGGACAGGAGGCAAGAGATGGATGGAAGGGTTTGTCCTCCAGTGGACGGCCTCAAGTGGAGATACACCCCCCCTGGAAAGAGCAAGGCTGGCGCGGATGTTCTCCCCAATCACTGCTATTATTGTAGGAGATAACAGTTGGGAGCGCCTATAAAAGAGAGAAGGATTGAGGGATTAAGATATCTGGTAAGAAGGAGAGAAAAATACTTGAGTAAATAATAAAAGATATTCTGGCAATCCTTAAGCATATTCCGTTCCTAAGAGGACCGAATAAAGGAGAAGACCGCCGATTTGAGTTATTATCCAGTGAGCAGTGCTTCTATTACTATTAATTATTATTCTCGTATTATCTTTCAATATTATAAGGCCCGGATACCTATATTTGGACCTAGGCCGATCTACAGTCCTTGGGAAAATATTGGGTATCCATCACTGGCGCC